TGGGTGAGGCAGCACCCTACCAGTTCACCACAACCCTCTATGACTGTGAACCCTCCAGACCTGCTCCTTTACCTAAGAAAAAAAAAATCACAAAAGTCTTGACTAAACAAATGTTTTAGCCTAGACTTAAACACTGAGACTGTGTCTGAGCCTTGAACACTAATTGGAAGGCTATTCCATAACTGTGGGGCTTTGTAAGAGAAAGCTCTACCCCCTGCTGTAGCCTTCACTATTCAAGGTACCAATAAATAGCCTGCAACTTTTGATCAAAGTAGGCGTGGAGGATCATAAATGACCAATTTTGCTCAGGTACTGCAGCGTGATACCATTCAGTTCTTTATAGGTCAATAGTAGTATTTTATAATCAATACGAAATTTGACTGGGAGCCAATACAGTGTGGATAAGACAGGGTGTCATTTGGTCATATCTTTTGGTTCTAGTAAGGACTCTTGCTGCTGCATTCTGGACTAACTGGAGCTTATTTATGCATCTACTGGAACATCCAAACAGCAAGGCATTACACAAATCCAACTGAGAGGTAACAAAAGCATGAACTAACTTTTCTGCATTGTGTAGTGACATTATATTTCTTATCTTAGCAATATTTCTGAGATGAAAGATGGCTATCTTAGTAATATTATCTACATAAGCTTCAAATGAAAGACTGGAGTCAATAATCACACCATGGTCTTTTACTGCTACACCTGATGAAACAGAAAGGCCATCCATAGTTATTATGTAATCAGAAAGCTTACTTCTAGCTGCATGTGGTCCTAGTACAAGTACTTCTGTCTTTGTCAGAATTAAGTAAAAAAAAAAGTTAATAAGCATCCAGTGTCTAATGTCCATTACACATTCCTCAACTTTACTGTGGAGACGAAAACTGGTGTCTGTCATCTGGCTTTGCTGAAACATACAACTGTGTTTCATCAGCATAACAATGGAAGATAATACCATGTTTATGAATAATTTTGCCCAGAGGTAGCATATATTAAAAAAGAGCAGTGAGCCTAAAAGAGAGCCTTGCGGAACACGAAACTTTACCTTAGTATGCATAGAAAAGTCACCATTTACATCTACAAACTGATAATGATCAGTCAAATTAGACCTGAGCCAGGAGAGGGCAGTTCCTTTAACACCTACAACATTTTCTACTCTATTGAGGAGAATAGCGTGATCAGTGGTATTAAACGCTGAACTAAGGTCAAGCAACACATGCAAGGAGACACCACCCTGATCAGAGGCCAGTAGTAGGTCATTTACCACTTTAACCAGCACTGTGTCTGTGCTATGATGAAGCCTAAATCCTGACTGATACATTTCCTGAATGTTATTCCTATATAGGTATGAGCATAACTGCTGTACTACACGCTATGTTTTTAAAGTTCCTGGAGATAAAGGGAAGGTTTAATATTGGCCTATAGTTGGACAGCTGACAGGAGTCTTCCTCCGGACCCTCACACACCAGGTTCTGCACAGTAATAAGGGAATTACTATTTTAGAAGAGGTTCGATTGGCCAAAAGATGTGTGGTCTCTCTTTCTCTAGTGCAAACTGGAGGGAAAAGCTCAAGAGGTATGTGCTGCTTTAATGCTTGAACAAAATTTAGATTATGACATTATGAAAACCATGGTACTCCCTGCCTGTGAATTGATACCCAAAGCCTATAGGCAACATTTTAGATCCCATGTGAAAACTGCAGACATATGTTGAGTTTGCTTGAGGAAAGTTTTATCTGTTTGATAAGTGGTGTGCTGCATTGAAAGTGAATAATTTTGAGCATCTTCATGAGCTGATTTTAATAGAGGCTTTTAAAAACAGCTTACCCAAAAAGCTTGTGATACATTTAAGTGAACACAATGTCTTCTTGCTGAGATACAGCTGTGGTGGCCAATGAATTTGTTTTAGAGCACAAAACTGCTTTTTCATTACAAGTGCAATTGGAGTGGTCACTAGGTGGTGAGAAGGTGCCAGTGTGACTGCATATTGTTACTTCTGGAAAATCTAAGATAACCACTAACCCAGTTACACAAAATGCTTTTTCTATTGAGAATCATGCTTGCTTTAATTGTTGCAAGCCTGATCATTTAATCGGTGATTGCATAGCCTGGAAAAAGAAATGCCAAATGTTGGGTTTGTACAGACAGTCCCCAAAGTGAACAAAGTCTCTACTAGACTTTCATTTGATAACAGTTTTGACCCCTTTCTACTGAAAGAGTGGGTGACCTTAAGAGAAAACGATCATAAACCCATCAATATTTTGCATGACACCGGGCTACACAAACCTTCATTCTGGAGAGTGTGCTGCCCTTTTCCAAGGACACATTTTGTGGTTCTTTGGTATTGGTTTGTGGAATTGACAATTCCGTTGTGTTTTCTGCACTGTGTAGTGACACATGCTAAGACTCTTAAAGGTGATGATATGGTGGGTCTCTCTGATATTTTTGACAATATTTTTGACAAAAGCAGTGTACAAAATCCTTTTAATTTGGACTGACTCTTCCCCCTGAGACCTTGAAAACTTTGAATTTTCAAAAAATCCCTCATAACTGGGTGGAGAGCACTTTGTTGAAGCCCAAAAGGATTACTCATTGCTAGTAGATACCTTCGGAATTTGTTGATATGGGGTGGAATTCAGTATATCAGCTTGTAGCTCCAAATGGGTATTGATCTCAGATCTTGAAATCACGTCATTTAAGGGTAAGCAATACCTATTACCATATATTGCACTATTATTTTTTTTGGCCAGGCCTAAATAATTGAATGAATGTTTCTTGATTGTGTAGGACCATTGCCAGAACCAAATCCAGACATGAGTGATTGTTGACCTTGATGTGTACTGCTACTCGTTTCCCTGAAGCAGTGCCTTTGCATACAGTTAATGCAGAAGCCATAGTCAAAGCACTGGTAAAGTTTTGGTCAATCTTGCCAAACCTGCCAAAAGTTATCCAAACTGATCAAGGCACTAACTTTACTTCTAAGGTCATTTCCCAGGTGTTGCACGAGTTGGCAGTGAAGCATCAAGTGTCCAGTGCTTATTATCCGGAGATTGAAGGTACTTTGGAACAGTTTCGCCAGATATTAAAATCCATGCTGCGCATGTACTGTCTTGACACTGGTCCTGAGTGGGATGAAGGTATTCCTTGCCTTGTATTCCTTGCCTTGCCTTGTTTGCTATCCGGGAAGCTGTTCAGGAATCACTTGGGTTTAGTCCTGTAAAACTGATGTTTGGGCACTCTATTTGAGGACCACCCAAGATGTTCCAGGAGCAGTTGCATTCTGAAGAACCATCAGAAAAAATCTAATGTACTAGATTACATGAGTCCTTTTCATGAGCATTTACACCGTGCATGTGAAATAGCTAATGCTTCATTGAAATCCACTTTGACTCTGATGAAAGCTTGTTTTGAATAAACAACATGTCAGTGAAACTTACAACCAGGTGACAAGGTTTTAGCATTATTCCCGATACCAGGTTCTGTGCTACAAGCTAGATTTTCTGGCCCCTATGAAATTGAATCTAAGCTCAGTGAAACCAACTACACTGCCCTCCAAAAGTTTGGAAACGCCTGAACAAAATAGGGTTTTTGGGCAATATCAGCATAAATCCTCTTTAGTTAGTGACCATTTTGCATTGATAATAAGGGACAACACTAGGCATCCGAGCAGTCAGTTTATTCAAACATTGAC